TCTTCTAGAGGCCGCTGGTATTTATCTGTCTCTTATACACATCTAGATGTGTATAAGAGACAGCTATATAGTGATATCAGCAACTCTATATTCTCTACTATATGACGCATAGATTAAAATGAAACAAGAACAAATAAAGCCGGCAAAATAGTTATTTAATTTTTCACTGTTATCATCAATTTGCTACTATCATTTACTTATAATTATGCTACAATTTTTAACATCAATTGCCATTTACTGCTTTTCCAGCCATGCTTAAATTTATCTTCGTATTAAGATATTAATCGTGCCTGATAGCATTATGACTATTTGACTCATGAATTCATAAAAATGCAACTTGCGTTTGCAATAATAGAGTTTCTAAGTCCTATCGAAGAAATAATAATGTTGCCCATGGCAGTTTAACTTCAAACTATTCTTTCTATTTGCTTGCGTGCAGCGTCACAGACTATATCCAAACCTAACTAAGCGACCTTTCAAACTTAGTTTAGTTGTTTACGGTGGGGAAAATAAGTATTTATTCAGTCACCAATTGTGCAAGTTCTTCCACTTAAAAAATGAGTGAGGCCTGCAACTGACATCATAATTGATGAGACATCTCAACTATGAGATACGAAATGTGGAAAAATTTTTTAGAAAATCATTTTATCGGACTTTTAAAGAATTTACTTGCAAATAATGGCGGGAAAGAAGTATTTGGTCACCTACAAACATGCAAGATTTCTGACTCTCACAGACCTGTAACTTTTTTTTTCAAGAGACTTAGCTTGCCCCCGCTCCTTACCTGTATTAATGAAACCTGTTTGAAGTCGTTAAAAGCATAAAAGACGCCTGCCCACAACCTCAAACAGTCACCACGAAACTCCATTATGGTGAAGACGAAACAGCTGTCGGAGGACACCAGTTACCGAATTGTAGGCCTGCATCAAGCTGGAAATACTGAATCTGAAATACCCAAATAAAAATTAAGAGTGGAGCACCTATGTTTTTATGGTGGCTATAGGCGGACGCCAATAGGTGGAGCAGCTTTGATTTATACAGTGAATTAAGGGTGGCGTGCACCACCTTTACCATACCTATAACCTGCCTATGGCCCCCCTAAACGTAATTTTACTAAATGTTTTTTTATGTTTAAACGTTTTTTTATGTTTAAACTTTTCTTATGTTTAAACGTTTTGTTATGTTTAAATGTTTTCTCTACTGTTTTTTTTATTTAGCTGCATTTATAGCTGATATTGTATAAGAAATATTCCTACATAGCCTGCATCTTTCATATATTAGCGAGTCAAGGAGGCTGGGAGACAATCATTGCTATTTACGTTGTTTCTTATGGGAACGAACGTTTCCCATAAGAACGTATCGGGAACGAACGTTCCCGATAAAGAACGTTTCCATTTTATCGGGAACCAACGTTTCAATTAACGTCAACCTTCCGGGAATGGATTATTGTTGTTAACCAAGGTTCTACTGTATTGATATTTACGTTTAATTTAATTTTAATTCTTTTACCGCTTATAAATCACCTTACTGGCGTCCAGAGTACAGATCATTTTGGCGACAGCTTCTACAAAATAGAAGGGAATGAGGCATCATATTAGATGGTACCGTAATTCCTATTGTATGAAGACGCTTCATTTCTTGAACAATAATATCCTAATAAAAGGACGGCAGATACCGTCTATAGGTACAAGAAGTGGTGACGAAGTTGTATATAGAAATAAATAAATATTACTTAGCTTTGCATAGTGAACATTCCGAAGTCCTGGTGACAGACGCCTCGAGATGCCATTTTGCAAAATGATGTAACACTTCCTTTTAACGAAACGAAAATCTAATTAATTACCCAGTAGAACTAGACGCCGTATGAAAATCTCGGAACCAGAAAATATTTTTATCATCATTTTCCATCCTTGAATGATGTTTCACTGAATTCACTTTATCGTGATGAATCTTTAGGCTTGAAATGATGATCGTTCTACAATCTTATACAACTGATAATTTGAATTTGATCAAATAAAAGTCTGAAACTTGTTCAGCATCAGCAGGTAAAATTAATAGATTTTAAATAGGGTAATTAAATTACTCAAGGCCGTCGGAATCGTGCAATCGACCGCTCCGGTAAGAGGAATAACTCTGGTAACATTGTGAACATCTTGCCACACGTACCTCTGTTATCTAGGCTGCAGCTGCTGATAAGGTTAACTGATATGAATGCAGGAATAACCTTGGTTAAAAAAATTCAGGTATATTGTTTTAATTTTTATTGTATTATTTATTAGGATTTTTATTTTGAATATCAGAAACTATATAGTGATATCAGCAACTCTATATTCTCTACTATATGACGCATAGATTAAAATGAAACAAGAACAAATAAAGCCGGCAAAATAGTTATTTAATATTCCACTGTTATCATCAATTCGCTACTATCATTTACTTATAGTTGTGGTGCAATTTGTAACCTCAATTGGTGTTTACTGCTCATCCAGTCATGATTTAATTTACCCTCGCGTTATGATGTTAATCGTACCTGATAGCATTCTGAATATTTGCCTCGCACAATCATAAGAACTCAACTTGCGTTTGTATTTACAATAACAGAGTTCCTAAAACCAATCGAAGAAATAATAATGTTACCCATGGCAGTTTAACATTGAACTCTTCTTTTTCTAATTGGTATCTAAAGAACTCTATTTTACTCTGGGGCTTGCGTGCAGCGTCAGAGACTATATCCGAGCCTAACTGATTGACTTTTGGAAACTTAGTTTAGTCGTTTACATAACAGTATTTATCTCATGGAATCTAATTTAATCATTATTTGTTCTGTTGGTTTATATCTTCGGGATGGTAGAATATGCTCGGCTGTCTTCCAAAATTCAGCGAAAATAATGGTGAACCTCGAGCCTGCCTTTTTGTGAAGGCCATCGCTCGGTCTTAAAAAATCAGGCAATTGTCGATGGATGCCGCGGCATCAAAATGATCGTCATCTGTTTAGTTCAAAAGTAGGTTGGTTGGAATAAATTATTGATGATAATTTTCCCACTGTGTGTAAAGTGATTTGAATGTCTAAAATGTTAATAAATTCGCAAATTAAAAAGAGAGGATTGCGAAATCTAATTAATGATGTCGTGTCTTGCAGGTTTTAAATCGCTCGTGTTGCTAAGATTGAATTATATAGTGATATCAGCAACTCTATATTCTCTACTATATGACGCATAGATTAAAATGAAACAAGAACAAATAAAGCCGGCAAAATAGTTATTTAATATTCCACTGTTATCATCAATTCGCTACTATCATTTACTTATAGTTGTGGTGCAATTTGTAACCTCAATTGGTGTTTACTGCTCATCCAGTCATGATTTAATTTACCCTCGCGTTATGATGTTAATCGTACCTGATAGCATTCTGAATATTTGCCTCGCACAATCATAAGAACTCAACTTGCGTTTGTATTTACAATAACAGAGTTCCTAAAACCAATCGAAGAAATAATAATGTTACCCATGGCAGTTTAACATTGAACTCTTCTTTTTCTAATTGGTATCTAAAGAACTCTATTTTACTCTGGGGCTTGCGTGCAGCGTCAGAGACTATATCCGAGCCTAACTGATTGACTTTTGGAAACTTAGTTTAGTCGTTTACATAACAGTATTTATCTCATGGAATCTAATTTAATCATTATTTGTTCTGTTGGTTTATATCTTCGGGATGGTAGAATATGCTCGGCTGTCTTCCAAAATTCAGCGAAAATAATGGTGAACCTCGAGCCTGCCTTTTTGTGAAGGCCATCGCTCGGTCTTAAAAAATCAGGCAATTGTCGATGGATGCCGCGGCATCAAAATGATCGTCATCTGTTTAGTTCAAAAGTAGGTTGGTTGGAATAAATTATTGATGATAATTTTCCCACTGTGTGTAAAGTGATTTGAATGTCTAAAATGTTAATAAATTCGCAAATTAAAAAGAGAGGATTGCGAAATCTAATTAATGATGTCGTGTCTTGCAGGTTTTAAATCGCTAGTGTTGCTAAGATTGAATTCCAGTGATAGGCGGGCCTTAGTATTTAGTACTTTACAATCATGCATGTAGTTTTTAATGCTTCGTCCTCAGCTAACGTTTTGGTTTCAAATACTGATCGATGTCGAGCTTATCAAACTTGTGTCAAAAATTGAAAAAGATTGCCGAAATTGTAAATATTTTTTATAAACATGGATGAACTATCAGGCTCCGCGACTCTCAAACATCATAAGTGAACTATCATGCTCCACGACTCTCAAACATCATAACTGATCCCGTTTCAAGTTGACAATCTTTGAACAAACACTGCTGGAGAGCCAGGCTCAGCTTTAAGACCTTCTATCAAACACTGAACAAACACTTTGAACCATGAACGTTAAATCGGAAAACGCAATTTTTGCAACGACTTAGCATATCATTACGAAATTAATAGGGCCACTGCGGAGGAAACTGAGTGAATCCCATTTAATCCCGATATTCGGTGAATTATCTTGGCGGTAATTACCGGAAACCCCAAATTCTGCAGCTGATGAACTGGCGACTCTATTGCGATTCTTACAGCTACTGTGCTGTTAGGAAGTTGATTGATTCCTCGATTAAGATAAAATTCGTTGTTGAATTTCAAAATTGAATGCCGGAAAACCTATTCTGAAACCCGGCCCACAATCGACACTAATTCAACCCACAATACTACTGGGCAGTTTGGAAGTGAACTGATTCATCAAGTTAGTATTCTGCGACAAATAAAGGAATTTACAATCGGAAAACCTAGTTTTTAAAAATTGAATGTACACCGATAAAAATCATGCCGCCACTCTGCAGCAGCGAACTGAATAAATTCAACGAGTAGGGTGATATTCGTTTTTGAATCGTAGAAGTTACTATCGCAAAAGGCAATTTTTAAACAGCTGAACTGAGGAAGTTTTATATATCAAAATATATATCATCAATAAAATTAACTGAATGTATAATGCAAATACCGCCCAAGTGAATATCTTGAAATTCACTGCCTTGGCTGTGCTAATAATTTTTCCCCAGTTTGACGTGAATACGACTTAAATTAGAGAGGATACTGGATGAAAGTCTTATTCATAAGCTGCTGGTCTGACGATCATGAATTTATTGCAGCATTTGTGCCGTTATGAACTGAATAAATATTTGAATAATTTGAAAATTTAGCTGAAATTACGACAGTCATTTATTAGTAAACCAATTAAGAAACGATCTAATTTACAGTCATGATATAAATGCAGCATCGAGTTACTACACTGTAAGTCACCAGAGTTTATTCCTGTGAAAACTTATTTTCATAACAATTTACGGTTGTTAATCGTGATCTAATTAACAATATTCAACGAGAGTTTCATCTCCGTACTAAGGCGAGGGATTTGCTTTGTTTTTCAACAAGGTCGCTCGCCAAAACATGGTCCTTGGCAGAGAGTTGACCTCAGTGGCACGGAGTTGTCGTGAGGGAAGGTTGTGTGGTGTCATGACGCCTGGCGAATACTGACACTTTCAGTGATTTTCATTAAAAATATTTTCAGGTTTACATTGAATAAATACAAAGGCACTCATGCTGAATATCTAACTTATGAATAATTTATTGACTCTTTTAGTGAAATCTATAGAATATGTTTCCGATTTTCCGTTAAAAATACCTATTAATTTTTTACACCAAGTTTACATTATTTGGCCCTAATTTCGCTATTCGGGCCCTTAAATTCTTACCAAAAATCTAACGCATACTCAGCCTAGAATTCAGTACATTATTGTACAACGCAAGCTTATTTGTCACATTTTCCTTCAATATTTCCTTAATTAATTAAATCATGTTGTAAATAACAGATTAAATGGGAAAATTGGAATTATTGAAGCCATCTCACGTCACGTAGAGGGGCGCTGTCTCACGTCATGTAGAGGGGCGCCGTCTCACGTCATGTAGAGGGGCGCTGTCTCACGTCATGTAGAGGGGCGCTGTCTCACGTCATGTAGAGGGACGTCGTCTCACTGACATTGTATGTGGACTCCTGAAGACAAGCGACAACAGATTCTACTCAAAACAAACTCTTGCTTCTGAATACATAACTTCTTATGAGCATATTTTCGTTACATAACTATGCGATCTCCAAGAACTGTTCATATGGATGTGTAAAGTTTACAGTAGTTAAATATTTCTTCCCTGTTGCAAGAAATAGAATTTCGTTACTGTATTCATTCATCATTAATGTATTAATGACACAGATAAAATTTACCGAAAAATGTAGCATAAGCGTTCACTGCTACACGTTAGCTGCCAAAGTCCAACGCTATATTACAATTGTCATTACAATTTATCACAATTGATTTTAACGCTACGAGCTGGATGCCAATCAAATCTAATCAGACTTTGTAACGTATTGAATGGTATCTATATAGAAGTTATTAAATAAACTTTATATAATATGAGATGATTACAAATTAATTTAAACGTTCTTAGGGTCAGATTAAAGTAAATAAACAATTTTTTCTACATTTCGCACAGGCTTCAGGAAATTAATGAACACTTTAAGCTCATAAATTTGATCCAAGTGATGGCTTAGCGTTCATTTCGGTTCAATTATGTCATCAAACTTTTAAGAGGCCCTAAACTTGAGTGAAGATAATAATTACAATAAAGATAATAATAAGAATGACGATAAAGTGTATGGAATTGTATCATTGTGGGCCATGCTATGGACAGGAGTGGATGTCAAATAAGCGCGTGGCGTTTAAATACATCACATGGATGAAACGCATGACAGTTCGTACGTGAACACACATACAGCACGGCTTAGAAGCGTATCATTTAGTTATTTTAGTATATTATCTTCGGCACTGAAGAATAGGCCTGGATAGGTCTATTCTTCAAAAAATAAACATCGCTCGCTTCATTTAAACATCGCTCGCTTCAAGGTACTCATCGGATTCTCAAAAACACGAATATTACTACAACGTAAAACTATGGCAACATCAGAGTTTTCCTTTTAAAAGTGAGCACTTAAAGAAAATTATTTTTATGGATGGTAGATAATTCAAGAGTGGGAACACAATAGTGTAGTCACCGCTGCGCCAACGGCTATTGGGAATTTTCGTTGTTCAATTACAGTATGTTATTTAGTTATCTTAAATTGAATTTAATTCATTTCAATTATTTTCAATCATGTTATGTTTCTTTATATGTTATGTTATATGTTATTGCTATATTTCAATGGTGCGTATAATATTGTTCAATTTTAGCCATTATTCTCATTCAAAAATACTCTCTATTACTGCTCGAATAACAGGCATAGTTCATATTGACCTATTATGCATGTTATAAAACATTAATTCAGCGATTCTGCGATCGAAATTACGGAAATTGTTTTTACAAAAGACATCTCATTTATTCAACGGACATTAGATTGATGGTTCTAATCTCCAATTTTAATTTTAATTATTCTAACGTGCTATCCCCAACTTCTATATTGATGTTGAAGTAATTTACATATATAGTTTCAAACTTTTTTTTATAACATTTTTCACCATAATATTCCTTCTCAAAATTGTTACAGTCACGGAATTTTAATGTTAATTTCAACTGTCTTTTTGCAGGCGTGTGTGTCAGAAGTTGCAAGAGTGTGCCAATTTACAGATCACTTTATTTGTCAAATCCAATTGGAGCCAAAAATTATTGTGAATTAAATAATTATTTTTATTGAACTTTATTTGATTCATTGAATATATTTTTTTAAATATTAATACTTCTATATGAATTACAGATGCTTTGACTTGACGGGCTAAACGACATAGGAAATTTCAGTGAAAAGTGTATAAAAAAAATGACGTGAAAATTCTGAAAATGCTCGAACGCTCCAAGTTTGAAAGATAGCAACAAAGAGGAGAAGAAATCATAAGAAATTTTTCGATGAGTTAATATTTGTTGGATTTGCAATGATTGCAACAGATGACTCCTTCGTTCGAAAATCTTTATTTCGAACAATTATTTGGAAAAGCTGGAAATCAAACATTCAACACAATTAATAGAGAAATAGGCAATTACAACAAACGTAAGGAGTCTAAGTCACTAATAATAAAATGCATGCTCTGTGTTTCTGTTTACCAACGAACTACTCGGAGTTTGCTGTGAACACGGTAGTTGCCGACCTAGACCGTGTGTGCCACATAGGGTATGTGAATTTCTTTCCCGTGTTACTGGCCATGAACGTGGTTTCCAACACAGTTAACGCAGTTGTGCTTATCAGGGTGCAACTAAAACATTCTCCTACGCCATCAAGACTCTACCTCTTCTGGCTTGCCGTCACGCATTGCCTAACCTGCATTCCGGTCTTGGTCGGGGCTTCTGTGAGGAACAGAACGAATCTTCCCCGGGGTTGGGCCTTCTATTTTGCCCATATTGAAGTCCCTTTGTATAATTCCCTTAATTGTACCTGTGTTTTTATCATTGTAGGGTTGTCTCTGGACCGATACATGGCGATGATCGACCTCCACAAGTACTCTTCTCTGAAGGAATTCAGGAACGTGCCAAGAAGGATAATTTTCGCGTATGTGTGTCCCTTAATAATCTATACACCTATGTGCTTCGTGCACGAGCCTGAACTTAACGAAAGCGGAATCGACTGGAGAATTTCCGACGATGACAGTCCTCTTTTCTCGAACAAATGGTTTAAAACCTGGGCCGTAATTTCCCAGTTTCTGCACAGACTCATACCGGCCTGCCTCCTCACCCTCATCAACGTAAGGTTGCTGCTCGCCCTCAAGAAAGTTAGCGAGAAGCGCAGCCAAATGCACAAGCGAAGCATAAGCCGTTCTCGGCGCGACGGTCAACTTGTACATATTTTATTCGCCCTCACAATTATCTTTATTATCACAAGTGTGCCTTCGGGAGTATTGTATATAATTTACGTGGTGACTGACAAAGCTTGTGAAATAAACCCCAGTGGGGAGATCGTGCGTATTGTTGGCAACTGCCTCGAGATGGCTGGGTACTCATGCGACTTTTTCCTTTATTTCCTCATCAACAGAGAGTATAGAATGGAACTGCGTTTAATTTACAAGGCCATCACGAAGCCATTCTCTGCAGGATCAGCGCACATCAACACGGGCAACCTCGAGTCCAACACGGGCACTAACGAGCATTAGTCTATTCTTAAAAAAACGTATTACAGGTGTGAAATCCATGAATTCTATAGTTACTCGCACAGAAATAAATAAACAAATGATATTTTTCTATGTTTCGTTAATAGACACATATAGTAGAAGTGTCTTCCAAGCAGCCTTACGGTGTTGATATCAGAAAACATTCGAATGCACAACTAATTAATACCTATCGCCAGATTTGAAACGCATTGTTCCAAAATGAAGTTTAATGGCAAATATCCATCCGCAGTTTAGATGAAAGAATCCTAAATTGGTATGATTCTAAAATGAATAAATAATTTTTAACTTCTTATTCAGGTAAATCCAGTTGTGAATTCAATACTTTTTTGACTGATATGTTACTCTTGTTGTTAGCAAAATTTATTCTTTGATGATTTTTCTAAAACAAAATTCTTCAAAAATATACTTACTCGAAAAAAACTATCCCAGTATGTCACAATTCTGGTTGAATTTCAATGAATAATTAGATCGATGAATTAGGAGTGGTGAATAAAAGGTTTGCTAAATATTAATTAAGTTATCAAGTTTTTTGTTTTAATGCTAGTAATATGTACTCAATGTGATTTAAATAATTGTTACATGTAATGAAAAGGGGAATATTGTAGAATAATATTGAATTATGTTCATTTTGTATTAATCCTAAGAGGCATGTGTGAACTATAAGGTCGATTCTGCATTTTCGGTCGTCTATAGCTCATGTCATGAAATTTTCGGTCGTCTATAGCGCATGGCATGAAATTTTCGGTCGTCTATAGCGCATGTCCCGAAATTTTCGTTCGTCTATATCGCATGTCCCGAAATTTTCGTTCGTCTATAGTGACTGTCCAGAAATTTTCGGTCCTCTATTTCGTATGTCCTGTAAATTTCGGTCGTCTATATCGCATGTCATGCAATTAAGAAAACCCTAAAATTATACAACGTGAATGAGTTGACCAATTGAATTCGACGATTTTATCATGTACACAAATATGCACTTTGGTTTCCTTCTATAAAATAAATTGAACTTTGAAGTTGGTTTTATAAATGAGCACCAAATTTTTGTGGGTTTGTTTTCAAACTGCTTATACGCCAGCTAATAAATAATGCATCAGTAAACAAATTTTAAGAAGAACCAAGAACGAGCCTCGTACAAATTAAACATTAGCTCATCAGTGTAAAAACAGATTCGATCTAATTGAAAAACTGATTCCTGTGGATCAATAACCTGATTTATTAAATTATCACTTAATTCGTTTATGGAAAATATCAGATTCTTCAACACATTAGATCTATTCTCAAATCATGATTGAGTTTTAGCTCAAAAATAATCTCATTTATTTTTATCAATACAATTCAGAACAGTTTAATATAGGAATGAGTTGTTCTAGACATCGACAAAAGGATGTTTGCTTATTTCTTAATAAATTATATATAATATAGGTAAATATATTCATGTAATGAAATTCATGCTTTTACGGTAATTAAATTTGAATTCTACTCGCCGTATAGGAAAATCTCAAGAGTAGCGATCAACTACAATGTAAGTTGGTACAGTACTGTAGTTGGTACAGTACTATAAGATTACTGTACCTTACAAAAAGTACTAATAAAAAGTGCGGATATCAGTTGGGCGAGTATTTTGACTGTTTATCTTATTTCCTTTCGTTGGTTTCTGTTAAAGAAGATATTATACAGACAAAATTTGTACAACTTTTCCGTTTCGTGTAAACGCTCTAGAAATGAAGGCATGCTTTAAGCGCATGCTTCTGATAAGCCATGTTGGTACACCGGCTGCTTCTGATTTCGTGAACATATTCTTCAGTTCGGCGTTCACATTCATCCTTAATATTTTTGGAATTCATTTTGATAATTGGAATGTTAGATGGACCTGGTTTCTGAGTTCCATGAACTTCATTGGGAAAACAAATCGTATACAAATTTGATTAATTAACCAGTAAGTAAAAATGAAACGCATGAAAAGTATCACGAAGCATTCTATTCAAAATGAAGATTGAAAAGTCCGTATTTGTCACAAATCAGAAAGTGAAAATTTTCATTAGCTGTGCACGTTATTCCATCATAATTACGAGTCCGTTGAACATATTGAATTCTTAAGAAACATAGCTACATCTCCTGCGCGAATTGATAAGAAGTAACATATATTCCTTTCCCCTCTCCATTCCTAAAATAACGATGTATTAATGCTGAATAATGTTTAATTCTCTCATGTACTAAAATTTATTCGATTTTCTTTACTCAAAGATGCTTGAAGTCGGAATATTGTTAATCGGACATTATTTGTATATGTATTATTTTTTCTATTATTTCCACGGTTATCAGGTTTGTTAATTAAAGTATTCTCTGATGGTATTCGTCTTGCAATTATCCTTTATTATCCTCTTTTAAAATCTTACGGTATTAAAAGTCAACTTACCTGACCAGCGATAAAGAAAAGCTTAGGATATAGTAAAGCGAGGGAGTATTTATGACGGGTAATTCAAAAGATTTCATAATTTTTATCGTATTTGTGACCTAACCTGCATCGAGTTAGTATAGTTTGATGAAATTAGTCTAAAAAAAGGTTAAAATAAAATAGGCACCTTTCGTTAGAATCGCAACGAGAAAACGAGCGTGATTGCGTCAAATAAATTCAATTATTTATTTATGATTTATGATCTTTGGGTCGATAGATGAAACTTGATGAGGTATTCCTGTCCGTGAAAACTTTCACAAGAAGATGTGTAACTTTCTTTCCGAGCCTCTCTTGTGGTTCGGAAAAAATAAATTTTCTTTGACGAAAAATTGAACCCGGCACGAAAAATTCATTCATGGACTCTCGCTTCAGATTCCTTGATTTGATTAGAAAACGAAAGATAGGAAGTAACCATTATAAACAGATTGAATAATGTGGAAACTGAAGGCAGGATTTTATCAGAAAACGATTGTGACATTTTTACTCTCTAATTTATGAACAAAATAGCATTCTTGGCTCCATTAAAAATTTCATTTAAAAATTGAATGGAATTTTGAATAATTAGCGTCTGTATTTTAGCGGAATTGAAAATATATTTTTCTGTATAAATATAACTTATTGAAACATGAATAATACAAATAAAAGAAGTCAAAGGATTTTCATATGACTTTCAAGTCATTGGACTTACTTTAATAAAGCCCCCTTAAAATTATATGAGATTTTAAAATTTTTCATTCAAAATTTTTTTGAAGCCACATTATTAGATTTTATAGAAGGCTGTCTCGCAATGAACCTCATTTTGTCAATCTGTTAAGTACGATTATTGGAGTGAAGTGCGTTTTTAAGTAACGGAAAAAATCCTGCGTTCTTTAATTATTAGAATTAAACTCGTATTTATTCAATCCATATCGAGAAGTTTTTCTAATATTCGAAATAAAAATAATTTCGTTAGATACCAAACGTTTATTCCATATATGACTGTTTTTTATCAATCAGAATGAAGTATTGAAGAAGTAAAATGAGCGCTGTCCTGCCAAACACTTTCGAAGGCGCGGGCCGTCGTTTGGCTAATCAGAGTAGGTATCGCTGCCAAGCGTCATGCCATACACGAATGGTCACACATTGTCTGTAACACAGCCTCATGCCCTGCACGAATGGTCACACATTGTCTGTAACACAGCCTCATGCCCTGCACGAATGGTCAGACATTGTAACACAGCGGCATGTCACACATTGTCTGTAACACAGCGTCATGCCATACACGAATGGTCACACATTGTCTGTAACACAGCGTCATGCCCTGCACGAATGATCACACATTGCAACACAGCGTCATGCCCTGCACGAATGATCACACGTTGTAACACAGCGTCATGCCCTGCACGAATGGTCACACATTGTCTGTAAGACAGTCTCATGCCATACACGAATGGTTACACATTGTCTGTAACACAGAGTTATGCCCTGCACGCATGGTCACACATTGTCTGTAAAACAGCCTCATGCCCTGCACGAATTGTCACACATTGTCTGTGACACAGCACCATGCCATACACGAATGATCACAGGTTCTCTAAAAAAATAGCGTCGTGACCTGAGCGAAAAGGCATTATCCATTATCCCAAAACCGACGCGTTACAATTATGATGGGCTTGGCATTGATGAAAACGGCTTCGATTTTATTCTCCCTACCGCAGATATTTACTTCTTATATTGAGTCCTATTGAGATTCTTCAATAATTTGCCATGGCATATTTGACCCCGTCGGAAAGTACAGGAAGAACTATAATAAAAAACAAATATAACTCAGTACTCACTTCAGTGAGTGACAGAGAGCGCATTTTCTCGTCGACGAAAACATGAGGTCACGGACGGACGGACAGACGGACGGACAGACAGACAGACAGACGGACATGGCGAGCACAATAGTGCATTTTTCCATAAATGAGAAAATGCGCTAAAAAAGAATTATAGTTAAAAAATTAAACCAAACTTATCATTAGACGCATCGAGACTTGATTTTGCACTTCTTAGAAGAATATTTTGACACTTGAAAAATTTTGCGAACGTAAAAATGGATCAAGATTGCAAAAGACTGGTGCTCATACAGTATACTTCTTATTAGTAGAGCCATTGTGGTGAATAATATTGGTAAAAGTAATTACTTCTAAATTGTAACGACTAAAAAACACCTGCGTGACAAATCGCTCGTCGAGAGAAATAAGTTTTTAAATATTATTATTAACTGTTCAAAATCAGTAAACTTCAACTCCTTGAATAAGACTGAACCGTTTAACATAATGTATCAACGAAAGGTCGTCATTATGCGCGACATTGTTGAACTTTTCGGCAACTTCAAGACTTGATCCAGGAAGTTATTTCTATTTAATTACACCGTCAAATTGTGCAAAAAATTGGTAGATAATTGCATAACGAAGAGGTTAATGGTGAAAGGGTGATTATTTTATAACAATTAGGGTAATAATTAAACAACGAAGAGGGAATTGATTGAAAAACGAAGAAGGTGATGATTAAACAACGAAGAGAGTATTTGTTAAACTACGAATTAAGTAAGTAATGATTAAAACCGAAGAAGGTAGTAACTGAAAGGTGGTAATTATTGAATAACGAAGGTGATAATGCTTATAAAACGAACAAGTTAATGGTTAAATAACGAAAAAGATAATGATTGAACAACGAAAAAGATAATGATTGAACAACGAATAAGGTAATTATTAAACAGCGAAGAAGGTAATTATTAAACA